AAAAAAAAAAAAAAAAAAAAAGGAAAGAGGAGAGGCTGAGAAAAGCAAAACAATCCCGGGAATTCGATGCGCATCTGCCATGCGCCAAGCGGGAAGATGGTTTGCAGTTTCCCAAACCGATTTGAAATTTAACATGGAGCAGCGGGCGCCGTCGGAGCCTTGCAGAGGGGCGCGGGGGAACCTCCCGCTCCCGCTCATCCCACCCCAGCCCCTGCCGAGGCTCCTGGCTCCACTCCCACGGGCGTTTCCAGCACCAGGCGAGGCTGCCTCGCTGCTCTCCTGTACAGAACCAGGTCCTGGGCTTTCCCAAGTTCAACGTTAATGGAAAGTTCTGAAGGCTGGACAAGACCAACCCAACGGCCTCAGAAATCACGCGTTTCGTTTTAGGGAGCGCCTGGAGGAGCCGCCCGGCTCCTGCCCTGCTCCCCGCTGAGAGCTCGTTGGCACGGCGTCAGGCAAAGAGTTTTTTCGAAATACCTGCGGAACAGCCCCGAGGTGTGAAGAGGATTGGGGAGTCTTTGGCCAAGTGGGTTTGGAGTCCCAGATGCAGCCGCTGGCCCTCGCCGCCTTCGTTTTGTACAGCTGCTGGGGACGGAGGAAGCAGACCGAGCCGGGCACGGCAGGCGCTACTCCGCTTCCTCGCCAGGAGACCCGGCCGCTCGTTAGGCCTCCGTGCCTCAATTTCCCCCCTCGTACGAGACATTGGTCTTTACAAAAAACTCCAAGACCCGCAGGTAGGAGCGCACTGGAGGAGCCCGCGGCTCGGCCTCGCACGCCCTGGGGTGGATTTCAGGCAGCACAGACACCACCAGGCAAAGACAGGAGCCGCTCACGGTCACGGGGTTTGCACCAAAAAGTCTCTCCAAGGGTGTATGGACGCCCCCGCCCGCCGCCTTCCCCGTGCCCGGGTTACTCTGCCCTGCGCGATTTCGTCCGGCAGAGCCGGGGATGCCCGGGCGCTGGGCTGCCCCGGGGAACCCACGGCTTCAGGGAACGGGATCGGTGCTAAACCTCAGCAGAGAGTTACAAAACCGCTCCCACAGTGGAAAAAAAAAACCAAACCCAAACAGTTTGTATTTCCCGTGCCAAAGGCGGGACACGGATCAGCCCGCACGCTCCCGGGGGCCTTTCCTGGCCTCTGCCAACACGACGGCCACCGA